AATGTAGGACATGAAATCTCAAAATAAAAAGGTTTGCTCATTTCTTGAATTTTTCATTTATATTTGAAAGTTTGAAGAAAGAAAATGTATGAATTGCTTTCCCCATTGCTGTGATAAAAGTACTTGGGACAGTTGGGAGGTGGTGGCACACATCTTTATTCCCAGCACTTGGGTGGTAGAGGCAGGCGGATCTCTGCGAGTTAAAGGCCAGCCTGCTCTACAGAGTAGGTTTCAGGACAGCCAGGGCTACACAGTGAAACCCTGTCTCAAAAAAACCAAAAGCAATAAAAGCAAATCCCATCACTGAATTTCAGCTGTGACATATGAGGCATGGAACATCTGCTCAAGAGTCAGAGTTTTATTTATTCACAAATTTTGAGTGAGAAGTGAACTGGTGGACTCCAGGCTAATTCTTTAAATACACACTCAGTCTAATACAAAATTCTAGAATATTCCATCCTCTAAGATTTGCTGGTTTTGAGGCACCTTCATTTCCTCATCCTAGCAAAAGTTTCTATGGCAACAGATTGAGCTTGCTTGGGTTGCTAAGCAACAAAAAAGCCTTAAGGAGAGACCTGTGATTAAGCTACCACCATCGAACCAACCTGGCCAAGGAGGGGGAGGACTAGACTCTTTAGGCTATCATCTGCCATCTGTGGTTCATGCACACCTTCTGTGTTTTCTCCTGACAGAATCTTTGTAGAATGACACAGTTGGACCTGAGCCTTGAAGGCTAAAAATTGGAATAAGGGTGTTGCTCGGTTGGTAGCGTGTTTAGGAAACATGTCCAAAGTCCTGGGTTTGATCCCAGCACCACATAAACTAGATGTGGTGGTTCATGCCAGTGATCCAAACACTTGCGAGGCAGAGGTGAAAGGATTGAGAGTTTGAGGTCATCCCCAGCTACATATGGAGTTTGAAGGCAGCCTGGAAGACAGGAGACCCTATGTCAAAAATCACAACATAGCTGAGGAAACTGACACTCTGGCCTTTGCAAGTGTACACGTACATAGACACACATAAACGTGTGCCTACCTGTGCATTCACCATCCACCCACATGTGTGTCATGTGCGCTCCTCACTTATGCACCTATTTAAATAATCGAGAAGACTGGAGAAGAGAGAGAAAACTGGAAGCTAACATGTTAAGCAACTAGACTCAGGCAAATATTTTTTTTCTTATATGGAACCTAGTTAATGAATACACACATATATGCATATACACACATATGTATACAACCACACAAGATGTGAACATTGAGCGGACATTCTGGTTTCATTTCTGTTGCTGTGATAAAATATTCTGACAAAGAACAGCTTTGGGGACTGGAGAGGAGTCTTAATGGTTAATAGGACTTGCTTCCTTTGCAGAGGACCCAGGTTTGATTCCCAACACCCATATCAGACAGGCTCATAACTGCCTCTAACTGCAGTTCCAGTGAGCCTAATGCCCTCAGGCCTCTGAGACACCTGCACAAATGTGTTGCACATAAACTCTCTCTCTCTCTCTCTCTCTCTCTCTCTCTCTCACACACACACACACACACACACACACACATCCATACACAAAAATGAAAAAAATTACATCTTATTTTTTTTTAAGTAAATTTGGAAAGATGGAGTTTCAGGTTAAGGCAACTATTAGCAATCTACAATCTGTAGACCCACAGAGGTTAGGTGTAGAGTAAAGGACTAGGACGTGCAGACAGATATTGTTAGGAAAGGGACATAAAATAGATAGTTATGCATGGATAAGGGGGTGCTAGAGGGGAAGGGTCAAGAGTAGAGGAGAGAATACTGGAACAGACAGCTAAAATTAAGAACCATTTGAGGGGTAGTATGGAAATCTAATACATTAGAAGCTTCCCAAAATATACATATATGAAGGCGATCTAAATGAAATCACCAAATAATGGGGGAGACAGAGCCCCAACTGGCCATCTTTTGTCACCAAATGAAGATTCCAGTACTGGGATTGGGTTATATCTAATATAGCTGTCATCCAAAGGGTTCCCAGAGGAATCCCCAAACATCCAGGCTGTTGCCAAGACTACAGGTTGCTCTCCAGACTGACAGCAAGTCCCTGTTGCTGAAGACAACACCCACATAACTCACTGAACATGGGGAAGTCAAGTTGGTGCCTACATTCTAGTGTCTCTGGCACAGGGAGGTACTCTGCAGGCTGCTGAAAGACATGTGACTAGCAGCCCAGCTACAAACCCTCTGATCTTCGGTGATGTCCTGTCTGTAAGATGGCTAGGGCAATGGTGGTGCAAAGCTTGTGGTAGTGCCCAACCGTGATGTGATTTCACTGTAAAACTCCACGAGATGGAATCCTTGCCTAACACTGCTTTGGTGGTGAAGAGCTTGAGATCGATAGCTCAGGGACCTAGGCTGTCTATGTCCAATTCCCATGTATTCATTTTTGTCTTATCTTATTATATTTTATATGTTTTATTATTATCCCTCAGAAGCCTGTGTGTTTTCTAATGAGAGACCGAAAGAGAGTAGATTTGTGTGGGAGGAGAAGTGGGGAGGAACTGGGAGGAGTGGAAGGAGAGGAAACTATAATCAGGATATATTATTGGAGAAAAATAATTTATTTTCAATAAAAGGAAAAAAATTGAAGGTGGGGGGCTGCATTATCTAACTTCCAGGGAGGGTTCCTGGGGCAGGGGTGGTGGGTGGGGAGTGGGGGTTAGAACAAATTCTCAAGGCTGCTGGCCAGATGTCCAGAATGCAAGTACAATCTCTTATACCTGTTAAAACAGAAAGGTGGGCTCAGAAGTGGCTCCATGGGTAAAGTGCTGCCCCATACAGATGAGACCCCAAGTTCAGTACCAAATACCAGAGTAAAGAGTCAGGCACTTGGGCACACACTTATAGTCCCTTGACAGATCTCGGGAGGCCCTGGCCAGTCAGCCTAGCTTACCTGAGGAGCTCCGAGTCAATGAAGAAAGCTGCTTCGGGAAACAAGATGGAGCTGGCGTACTGAAGAATGAAATTTGAGGCTGATCTCTGGCTTCCACATATGCAGACATGTGCATGTGAAACACACACACACACACACACACACACACACACACACAAGCTGGAGAGATGACTCAGCAGTTGAGAGCACTTGCTGCTCTTCCAGATGATCCAAGTTCAGTTCCCAGCACCTGCATGGCAGCTCGCGACCATTTATAACTCCAGTTCCATGGGGAGCTGACACCCTCTTCCTACCTGTGAGGACACCCTAGGCATACGGTCCATGGACATACAAACAGACAAAACACCCACCTATATAGAGTGTGATTGTTTGTGTTAATGTAAAGGCGTATCGTAGAATGGAGTGTCAGGGAGATGCTTGCACCAACCTACTGTCATCTTCAGCGATAGTTAATATGACCAGTTGTCACCTGTCACTTGTTAAGTCAGGCAACAAACACCAGTTGTGTACCAGACACTGCCCTGGGCATTTGGGATTAAAGGGAAGTAAAAGCAGGCACCATACCAGCTTTCCCGGGCTTGGGCAAGCAGAGGAGTTCTTTGTGTGTCTAAAGGACGGTAGACTCTATCAGCAAATGTCTTCGCTACTGTGTGCTAGGGACTGTGCTCTACATAGGAGTCATGCAAGGGTCAGACAAAGTCTTCCTCATAAGATATCATTCTAGTGGGATGGAGCTATATATAATCAAATGGTGAGAAGGGCACTATCTGAAGAAATAAGGGCCAGCCAGGTGGTTCAGCAACTAAGGGGGCTTGCCTTAGTAAAGCCTGACGCCCTGAATTTGATCCTCAGGACCCACAAGGTGAGAGAACAGACTTCCACACCTGGGTGGGACATACATGTGACCCTCCTCCCCCGAACATAGAAGAAGAAAAGGCAGAATCTCTAATCTCATGGTGAGAACTCTGAGTTCCAGGAGTGAGCACAGCCAGGCTAATGGAGTTGGTCACAGCCTCAGAAGACCCATGGAAACTGAACCCAAATGTGACATTCCAAGTCACTCAGTCCGGATGATCTGTTATGCAACAGTTGCTAACTGATACATAAAGAACTGAACAATTCTTCTGTGTGTGTGTGTGTAAGTGTGTGTACATGCACATACGCGTGCATGTGTGTGTGCACGCACATGAGTGGGTGTGGGTACCCAAGAAGGTCAGAAGTGGCATTCAGTCCCTGGAAGCTGGAATTGCAGATGGTTGTGAGCGGCCTGACATTGGTGAATGGAAGCGGCAACCCAACTCAGGTCCTTCACAAGAGCGTGGAGCCTTAACTGCTGAGCCGTCTCTCCAGCTCCAGCTCTGGTGTGTGAGACAAGTTGTCTCACTAGCCTGGAGCTCACTCAGGTAACCTAGGCTGCCTGGTTAGAAGCCATGGGGACTCCTCAGTCCCCACTTCCCCATCACTGAGATGATAAGCATGTGCCACCACACACAGCTTTTAAAAACAATTGGGATCGCTGGGGATCAATCTGAGGTCTTCATATTGTGTGACAAGTAGCTTAGTGACTAAATCATCTTTGCAGCCCTAATCCCTTCTCTTTTAAGTATATTTTGGCCTACAGCTAGAATTACAGCTAAATGGATCAACTCATAAGCAATTAGCCACAAATTGTGTTTGACTCAAATTTCACAGGATTTTCTTTCTTTTCACTCAGGGAAAGCAAGTGGAGAAAAATCTGCCTTAAAAACAAGAATCTGGGCGGCCAGGTGGCTCAGGGGATAAAATTGCTTGCCTTGCAAGCTTGAGGGACTTGAGTCGGAGCCCTGGAAGTCACATTTTAAAAATCCAGATGCAGTAGTGCACATCTGTAAGCCCACCACTCCCCTGGTAAGACGTGAGTGGGTAATAAAACCATCCGGAAGCTTGCAGGCCAGCTAACTGCTGGTGCTTAGCACCACAGAAACAAGGGAGGTGGAGGATGAGGACTGATTTCCCCAAAGATGTCCTTTGAGCTTTCCATGTGTTGTGGAACACACACACACTGCACACAGACACACACACACAATAATAAAGTGAAAAAAATGAAATGGTTTAATTTTAAGTGTCACCTTGCCACAACTCAATCAATTGGGAAGACAGCCTCAGCTGCTCTGTGGGCATGTCTACGAGACGACTGTCATGATTCTTATTCGATATAGAAGACCCACCCCACTGTGAGCATCACCAATCCCTAGGCAGCAGATCCTGAACTGCAGGATTGGAGAAAGCTGGATAAATGCAGCAGGCAGCATGGATATGCATTCACTTCTCTCTGCTCTTAACCGTGGACGTAACCTGATGGATGGATGCAGCCGTGGACGTAACCTGATGGATGGATGCAGTCGTGGACGTAACCTGATGGATGGATGCAGCCGTGGATGTAACCTGATGGATGGATGCAGCCGTGGATGTAACCTGGTGGATGGATGCGGCCGTGGATGTAACCTGGTGGATGGATGCAGCCGTGGATGTAACCTGATGGATGGATGCGGCCGTGGATGTAATTGCTTGAGATCCTGCTTTGACTTCCCTCGATGATGGACTGAAACCTGTAACTATAAGCTTGAGATTAACATCCCAAAGTTTCCTCCCTTATAGCGTGAATTCTAATTGGTCTTAACAAAAACCCAAAGTCAGATATCAAGTAAATGCTGAAAGATCAGAGAAGTAAAGGAGCCAGCCACTAGAGAGACCTTTTACCTCTACTGGAATCAGACTGAAGGGGGCAAGATCCTGTCTTTATGAATCCTCAGACTGAATGTCTTGAGCTCCACCAGCCGTATCCCTTCTTATCTCCACCTCTCTAGTGTTGGGATTAAAGGCAAATAACTTCCAAGTACTGGGATTAAAAACGTGAGCCACCACAGCTTGGCTCTGTTTCTTTTTGAGACTGAATCAATCTAGTGTAGTCCAGGGTAGCCTTGAACTCACAGAGATCCATCTACCACTGCCTCCCGAGTGCTGGGATTAAAGGTGTGTGTCCCCACTGCCTGGCCTCTATGGTTAACTAGTGTGGCTAGCTCCGCACTCTGATCTTCAGGCAAGCTTTATTTGTTAGATCACAAACAAAATATCATCACATTCCCTAATTTGCTTTTTGTCGGGCTATTCGCCCCAAACAAACAAAACTCCCCAAATCTATGTGATGAGCTCCACAGGTAAGTGACAATCTAAAAGGAATTCACGGGTAAAACATGGTTCATAAAGGAGTCTAAGACTGGGCTGCATATCTTGTTCTCATCGATTCCAAGAGTCTTTCTTGCAGAGGAAGAATTGATCTCATTACTGGGGATGTTCATTGATTACAAAACAAACATCAGTAACAGTTCAGAGCCTGGAAAATTCCAACCTCAGAGGCCCTTCGGGCTCCCTTGCAGACCCCCTCCCCTTTCCCAATCATGCTGCTGTTTCCATGGTAACCGCCTAAGCTAGACCAATGAATGTCTCATAGGCAGGTAAATGTTCCTAAGTGGAAACAAACATCTACTGACGTCAAACCAGCCCCTGGTGGGGGCTGGGGAAGGTGGGATTGCAGACTTCCCAGCAATAGCTCCTATTACATCTGTATTTTTTCCTTACCGTGGTAAATGATGCATACAATTTTAAAATTTAACTTTTTTTCCCCAGAGCTGGAAAGTGGGGGTAGCTTACACGTGTGGAGGCCAGAGAATGATGTTGGATATCTCTCATCCATCTTTAAAAAAAAATTACATTTATTTACTCGTGAGCGTGTGTGTGCATGCATGAGTGCATGTGTGTGTATGCAGAGGGCTCCCTCAGGTGTAGTTCCTCAGGTGATGTCCACCTTAGTTTCTGAGACCGGGTATCTCACTGAGTAGACTAGATTGAATGGTCCTAGGGGCCCCAGGGATCCTCCGTCTGTCCACCCCTGCCCAGCGCTAAGATTACAAGCTCATGCTGCTTTTTCTTGTGAGTTCTGGGGATCAAACCCAGGCCATATGTTTTCATGGCAAACATTTTACTCATTGAACCAACTACTCAACCTTCCTCCCTCCTTCCTCCCTTCTCATTTACTTTACCTCCTCCCTGCTTCCCCCTCTCTCCCTTCCTCCATGCAGCAAGTTCTTACGCTCAGGCTAGTGTCAGATGTGATAGGTATTAGAGGATGACCTTGAACCCTTGATCCTCCTGCCTCCACCTCCCCAGGGCTCAGATGACAGGCTTGCACCACCAAGGCAAGCCTTAGTCCTCTTTTAAAAGGTAATCTAGGGTCCAGGAAGGGTGAGCTGCTCAGTATTGCAGCCAGTTCTGTGTGGTGGAAGTTTGTTATTCTTCCCTTTCTGGAATTTTCTCCAGTTATGTTTGGCTTTCCCTCTTTCTGAAATGCCTGTGTCCATCCAAGAACTTTTAAATACGACCCTGGTCTCAAGAAAGAAAACCACTACCCATTCCTCATCTCCTCACGTCCCAGGACATGGCTGGGCTTGCCCAGGTCTTCAGCCCACACATAGTCAAGCTCTTCACCCCAAAGGCCCCACTCCATAAATTATCCTGTAACCAGAGAAGGCCTGCCTTGCTTCCCAGCTGAAACCCCACAGCCGCTCTGCAAAGACCTTGCTCCTTTTCAAAGCAAAACCTGCCTGTCTCATTCCTGAGATTAACTCAGCCACAGTTATTATTTTTCTCAGACTGAAAAAGCCCACTGTTTCTCGTCATCTGTATTCAGTGGCCACTACACAAGGCCCTCCCAGGAGGGGTGAGAGAGACAGACTGTGACAGAGAGAGACACAGATACAGGCAAACACCCCCTTCCCCACCCCCACCCCCACACACAGAAAGAGAGAGAGAGAATCAGATTGACTAAAATAATATATCATCAAGCCTCCATGTAGCCTGAAATGTGGCATCCCCACATGATATCAACTGTATTTTAAAACATCTGGAAAGCTGCAAGCCAGAGGCCTCTCTTGCTTTCTCCTCATTCTTCTTCCCTGAAGCAGGTCATGAGAACCACACTCATCTTTAAAGCTAGACACAGAGAACACTGAACAAGCGGGCCTTGCTAAAGACTCCTAGCTTGTCACATCGTGGTTCTGTTTGTTTACCTCCTGAGCAATAAGATTATAAATATGCACCATCGTGCCAGTTAGATCATTAAAAAATAAACAAAACCAAGAATAACAGCAACAACAAAGACTGGGACCCGGAGATGGCCCAGCAGGTAAAGGAGCTCGCCACCAAGGTGAATTACCTAAGTGTGATCCCTGGGACCCACTTGGGAGAAGTAGAGAACAGACTCCAGAAAGTGGTCCTGTGACCTCCACATGCCCACCTCACACACCCCAACACACACACACACACTAAATAAAGCTGTAATTAAAAAAAAAATCTTAGCATGCTTCTTCATGACTTTTTACTTAAAGTTTTTCTGTCTCTTTGGTTCCTTATTTCCATTTGAAACTCTTGTAACACGAACAATTTATATCTAAAACATGTGTCTATACCCTTCTCCTGCTAATCTGTCCTTCCGTCACAGGGGCTCCCCCTCTTGGGTGGCGCGGGGTGTTTGGTTTGTGTAGTCTTCCTGCATCTGTATTGTCTTACTTATTGTGTAATGCTGCCAGCTGTAAATAGAATGAATAATAATAACCAATCTTTCTGGCATCCCAGGCTGGTTGGGCATTCACCATGTAGCTCATTCACTCAGAAAGTGATTGGGGGCTGAAGAGATTACTCGGTGATTAAGCACACTTGCTATCCTTACAGAAGACCCCAGTTATCCCAGCACCCATGTCAGGCAAGTCACAACCATCTGTAACTCTAGCTCCCGAGGAACTGTTACTCTCTTCTAGCTCCCTTGGGCATTACATACATGCATATACACACACAGGTGTGAATACACATGTGTGCCTGAATGAGCACACACACAAACTCAGACACATAACTAACAAAATCATAAAAGTAAAACTTAAAAAAAAACCAAAGTTGGTTACCTCCATAACCTTTATGCCACTACTGCACCAGTGGGCACATCTTACTTTTCAAGTTAGTATTACAGTATTCAGACTTTGCCAGTGGGTAAGACCACAAATGACTTTTATCCCTCAGGCAAACCTTAGATCACACTAATCCCACTGTTTCAGCCTCCCAAGTGATGGGATTAAGGGTACTAGTCAATGTGCTCCAGAATAATGGTGTGTGTGTGTGTGTGTGTGTGTGTGTGTGTGTGTGTGTGTGTGTGAGAGAGAGAGAGAGAGAGAGAGAGAGAGAGAGAGAGAGACTATTGACGCCCACAGTGCCTAAAGAGAGCAGAGATATTGGATCCCCAGGAACTGGAGTTATAGGCAGCTGTGAGTCACCTGATGGGGATTCTGGGAATTGAATTCTTGTCCTCTGCAAGAGAAGAAGACGCTACTAGCTGCTGAGCCATTCCTCCACCCCTCACCCGCTTTTTTGAGACAGGATCTTACTTTGCAACCTTTGTTTCCACATAGTTCATGATGTAACCTAGACTTTTCTCAAATCTGCCTCACTTTTCCTACCTTGGCCTCCAGAGTTTTGGTATTAGAGTCACAGGCACCCATATACATGTATGTACACCCATGAACATGTACACACAAAGATGCATCCTCAACTTTATGAAGTTAGTGAAATTAACACGCTCTAGAAAGGAGCACCTGCAGAACAGTGCCCTCCCTTGTTGTTTATTTTGAGGAAATATCTTTCCCCCAGCTTCTTATTTAGAGGGAGAAAGGAATGAAGCTTGGCCTTTACCCATTAGGAAAGCCTTCCTGGGGGAGACTCGACGCGGCACCATATTGGAGTGAACATACACAAGCTGGTGGGATAGTTTATACAAACCTAGGCTTGGAGGTGCATACCACTAGACACATGGCTACCACTGACTGAAGCATTATTCTATGGAGTCCCACTGAGTTCAGAGTTTCCAGATCAGAACTACACTCGTGTCTTCCATTGCTGTGCCCACATTTCCCCCTGACACCTGGCAGGACACGTGAGGCTCTAAAGGAGGCGTGTTAAGACCTGGGAAGGAAACAAGTCACAAGGCTCAGGGAGGAGTCCCTGAAACCTAAATAAAGACTCTTGAGGTGTCCCTCTCCCTGAGGTTACGTGAAGATTCCAGTGATGCTTAGCGCAGCCGAGCTGCTTGTAAAAGACTTTTCCACCTGCTGAGCTGCCTCAAGCCATGCGACAGACTCCGTGATCCCAGCTTTGGTGAGTTATCATGTATGGCGAGGCAGGTTCAGCGATGCAGCTGCCTTTGAGCCAACCCTGCTTCTCGAAGTTGCCCCAATAAACTAATTGGTTTACCAACCAGACTTAGGTGATATCATTATTTTGATCGGTTGTCAGTCCCCTCTTCAATTCTTTCCGAGTGACATCCTGGTGACCAGGGTCACTCGGATCCCATCAATATCCTGTCACTCGCAGGGTGAGCTGCAGACCTGCAATTAAGCAGATCATGTCACTTTCCTCACACACACCTCTCACTGGAACTTGACTTCTGTCAGTGACCGCGGCACAAGGTAGGGAAGGACACTGCCGAACATCGGTCCCCAAGATTAATGATCGC